CTCTTAATGTTTCTTGAAAAGTAGTTTCTTCTACTCCTCTACTCCTGCTACTATGGCTTTATCAATGTTCTGGGTGCTCAGAGCTGCAATTTCATTTGTCATTTCCTTGGGCAATTGAGACAGAAAGGTTTCAGGAAGCCTTAGAAGTTGAAGAGGAAGATAAAAAATGCCTTACAGTGACTTGGAGAGAAAAGAAGGTGAGGCCCTACCTGGTCTTTGCTGAAAGTAACCAAGCACTGGTAAGCAGCATCTGCCGAGGCAAATATGTGAGGGGGATTGGAGGCACGCCTCACCCCATGGTACAGCCTGGAAAACTGAAGGGAAAAATAACTTACTGAAAGGAAGATTCTAATTCTCCACTAGACCATCTATAGCTTTCACTACACATACCCCAGGAAATCAAGACTTTGTCACTTGTTAGGGGACTGTGGCCTCCTAAATGGCTCTGTCTGGAATCTGCTTGCCAGAGTTCAAAATGCAGCTCTGCATTTACTGACTTCATGAGCTGGCGCAAAGGTGTGAACGTCTCTATGTTAAGTGTCCTTGCCTGCCAAATCGGCTCAGAGTGGCCCCCGCCTCCAAGTTGTGAGAAGTGGCATGATCCAGTACCCAGCGTGCAGTGAGGGCGCAACAATTTCAGCTATTATGAGTGTACCTTGCTCTCTAAAGTCACTCCCCAAAGGTAAAAACTCCATTCGTTTTACATTATTATCTGTAGCTTCGAGTATACACCCTTAGAGGGATGTGGGCTTATTAACACATCTTTATTTGCCCCTGTGATTCTTTTTCCAGTGCAGGAGATGGAATCTCAGGCTGAGAGGATGCTAGGCAAGCTCTCTATTGCTGAGTTGTACCCCAAGCCCAGCTCAGCCCAGCCCTTACAATTTTTGAATTTTTCACGAAGGAACAATATGCTCTTAAGGTCTCCCTTACCTGTGGGGAATATATGCTGAGATTCTGGAAGGGGTTTAAGGCTATTAGGATGTCCCCAACATAGGTGTAAATCAGCAAGTCTGCATAGCGCTTCTGCAGCTGATGAAGAATTGTATCCTAAGGAGAGGACAAATGGTACGGAGAATAAACACTGTATTCAATCAAGGTGGAGTTTCTAAAAACATCAAATTTAGGGCTGGCCAAATATCTCAGTGGATTAAAGCAGCTGCAAACAGGCACAAGGGCCAGGGGGTTCGATCCCCAGGCCTGCCATGCCGTCCCCGTCCCCGGGACGCGATGAGATGGCAATTGAGACTGGGCGTGGTGGCGGGCTCCTGTAATCCCAGCTCTTGGGAGGCTGTAAACAGGAAGATCACTATGAGTCCAATATAGTAGTGAGACCCTGAACATCCTGTAGAACCTTCCCTAAAATACAATAAATAAATTAAAAACATCAAATTTATTTTTACAATATTTTTCTCTAAAAACTAAAATATACATTTAAATCATACAGTGATTGTAATGTTCTGCAATGTTTCATATATTATTTGTGTTGAATGAATTAAGAATGGAAATATGCTGGAATAATTAGGACTTGGTTTGGGACACAGAGATAGATATCCAACAAAGATTTTATTTGTCCCTGGGGGACAAAGTTCCCTTTAGAATTTGATTCAATAGGCCACTCCTAACTTAGAGCACAGAAACATAGCAATTTTGGTTCTCAGAATGTTGCATGTAAAATCTATGTGGCAGGAATCTGGAAAGCAGCGCTTTCCTGTTACAGGATGGTGACGGCAGTGCCGAAGCTAGTTACAGGTCCCCAGAGTTGGACTCAGTAAAAGCAGGTCCAGGGTAATTAAAGACTCCATTAACCATGCATGGAAAAAAGGGATGATTATCATTTGTAGATTTAGAATGCAAGTGCATAACTTCATTACTTTGCTAAGTATAACTTTTCTTTAAGAAGAATAATTATCTTAATAGTTAACTACAAAGTTTTATTAAGGAGAAATTAATTTCAGTGGATAGAATTCATCATAGAGGCCCATGATAAGAAAGCACTCTTAGAAAGATCCAAATTCTTTCTCTCCACCCCAGGGACTATAAACGAACACAACACAGGATCATAGTGTCAGTAACCGAGTGTACCCAGTATTTGGTGGCTATATAATTAGATCTTCAAATGACCTCACAAGAACATGGCCTGCAACAGAAAGGTCAGACCATTCATGTGAAACAAAAGCCATCAATGAGCATTGTCTACTAAACAGTCCGCACCTCATTTAGGACCTCTAGATTGACCAAATCATCCTCAAGGCAGTATTTTTCAGCATTTTCCACACGATAGGGTCTTCCGGTATGCATCCTTTCATGCCTAGAAATATATCAAGACAGTGTTAACAGTCAGATAGCAAATGATGTGTGATGACTCTTTCACAGTGTTATCACATGTTGTATTCAGAGACAGTAACAGCAAGTCCAGGTCAGATGCCCAAGGCAACAGGGAAGCCAACGCCATAGCTCAAGGCTTTGTTCTGCTATAGTGAAGAGTATTACCAAATAGGCCCACCTATCACATATATTTGCTTTTCTTCAATTCCAACCATAGCCTTCCCAGGAACAATGTTTTATCTGCTTAGTGTGATACAAGATCACTGTTTCCCTGCGTGCAATATTTCATGTAAAAGAGACCAAACCATCAAAATTCTGAGTGCTTAGTAGACAGGAATTTCATGGATGCCATTCTGCACCCTGTTTTGATCATAGTCATAGAATTTTTGCTAGAAGTAGATGTGAAAGCACCTAATCTGCCAACACCATTCCCAACTTTTTGAGATATTTTTAAAACTACAGAAAACTTCTGAGAGTAATAAATACCAAGGAATTGGTCATTGTTTCTATTTTACTTTATTAGTTATTTGAATTCCTTTCGTAAAAAACATTTTTAAAAAAGTGCTAGCCAAATAGCTCAGTGGATTAAAGAGCCTGCAAGTAGGTATAGGGGCCAGGGGTTCAATCCCTGGGCCTGCCATGCAGGCCATGGCCCTGCCCCCAGGGAATGCTGAAATGGCAATTGAGACTGGGCATGGTGGTATGTGCCTATAATCCCAGCTCTTGGGAGGCTGTAAAGAGGCAGATCACTATGAGTCTAATCTAGTAGTGAAAACTTGAATGCCCTGTAGACCCTTCCATAAAATAAATAAATAAATAAATAAGATTTGAATTCCTTTTGTGACCTCTGTCCCATCCCAGTCCTCTCATGAGGTGGCCACTATTTGGTACATGTCCTTCTAGTCTATTTCTTAATGTTGGTCAAATATGTGGATGTGCACATGAATAAGATACAGGTTCTGTAGGCTTAATTATAAAAATTATATCATGCTCCAAGTTTTATTCTGCAAAATTACTTTTTTCACTCAGCATTATGATTTTTCAAGCTGTTATTGTTTGTCTCTAGGTGTCCCCCCCCCAAAGCCCCATGCAGTCATGTGGCAGAGACTTCTAGAGTTTGCAATTAACTCATGATCCACTGGGATTATGGACGATCCAAGACTGGGATTATGGGTTTTAGTACTGCTGGGATTATAGGTGTGATTACTTTCCCTAGCCTCAGGTGGATAGCCTGAATACAACCTAAGAGAGACAGAGGACAGACTTGCTCTCTGTCACCATTGTTGCTGCTGCTCCTCCCTTGGCTCCTTTTGCTCTTTGCCACCACCATGATCTGATGCTCTCTGCCCTGTGCCACTCTACCTCAGAGCCAGCCAAGTGTGACCTGAAACCTCCAGTAACCATGAGCTGAATAAACCTTTCCTTCCTTCATTTTGGGTGTTGGGTATTTGTCCCAGCAACAAGAGAAGAGTAACAGAGACACAAGCTATCAGTCACCTTAACATAAACAATCTCTCATCATATAAATACATGCTAACCTCTTTGCCCATTCTTATGTTGGTCAACATTTAAGCTGATTCTTTATATTTTTATTGCTACTAGAAATAATATAGCATTTAACATCTTTTTGCACATCTTTTTGTGTATAAATGTAAGATTTTTCTCGGGGGAGGGGATATTGTTTACCAGACATCTTAAAAACTTGGTTGGTAATAACAATCTACTTCCTATAGTACACCAAAAAATAGCTCTTTGAGACATAACAGTAATTCAAAGTCAAAGTAGGCATTCCTTTAATACCCTTAATAGCCTTGTCACTACTCAGGGTGATGTTGGAGAAAAGCACTGGCCTAGAAGTTAAGAGCTCTGGGTTCTAGTCTCAGACTCGTGAGTAATATGGAATGGGACACTGAGCAAATCTACCATCAGCCAGTATCTTAATTTTCTAACCTACAAATGACTCACTCATGACTGGTCTACCTGTCTCATAGGTGACTGATAGCATATATATTCACAGATCTAAAAATGCAAAAGGAGCCATAAGTGGTGGCTCATGCCTGTAACCCCAGCAGTCAGAAGGCTAAAGCAGAAGGATCATCATGAGTTCAAGGCCATCCTAAACTGCACAGTGAGACCCTCTCTCAAAAAACAAAAACACAAAACTGCTAGGAAAATGCACCAAATCCTACATTTACATCCTTGTCATAATCTGGAGTTAACACATTATTCAGGGTAGCATTAATTAAAAAAACAAAACTACATGTACGATATCCTCTCATTTGCCAGGAGAGAAGTTTCACAGCTGGGTTCTTCCCTTTCACCTTGTATGCCCACCTAAACACAGCTCAACAGAATGTCACCCACTGACATGGTTCTATCTAACTAGGCCCAGAAGTGGAGTTCTGCCTCCGCTTTTTCCTGTGAGTCCAATGTAGAAGTTAAGGAATCTTGATGTACACCTATACCCTTGCTACAAGTTCACAGAAGTAGGTAGAAAGGAAGATGCAAATTCATCAGGTCTACATATTGAGTCTTGAGCTTATAACACACTGGAAAGAGGAAAATAAAACATTCACTTTTTTCTTGTCTGTTTCAAGCCTATTAAATTAATCTTCCTTCCATCTCTATCCTTGATGAATTTGAAGAGGAGAGATTACAAATGTGCTATTAGTCATTTCCAGTAGTAGGACCAGTTCTGCTGCTATTCATATAAAGGGTCCATATAGAATGCAGCTTAATTTTTATTTAATAAAATAAAATTTAAAATCCTACTATTTTTATATTTTAAAAACTTTTTTGCTATTGTTTGGGAGGGCATTGTTTTGTTTGCTTGTTTGGTTTCTTTTTTTTTTTTTTTTTTGCAGAACCGGGGATTGAATTCATGCCCTTGCACTTGCCAGGGAAGCACTTATTCCACTAAGCCATCTCCCCAGCCCCCTGGTTAGTTTCTTTTTGAGACTATATAGTTCAGGCTGGCCTTGAACTCACTATGTAACCCCGGCTGGCCCTGACTGAGAATAATTCTTTGGCTTCAGCCTATTGAATGCTGGGATTGCAGGCATGTACCACCATGCTTCATAAAACCTAAGCACTTTAAATCATCAAACAGAACAATTTATTCATCAGTGTTTTTGTATATTGGTGATGACAAAGAGAAATCAAATTTGTATGAAATACACATTTTTCACTGTAATTCAGAGCAGCTCCCTAACTCTAGCTAAACATTTCACTAGATAAAAGAGCAGAAAGGTGCATATTTCTGGTTAAAACCCCTTTATAAACCTAAACTCTTTTTGTTTTCTGCTTGAAGTTAATTGTCCAGCAAAATTACATACACAGTGTTTTAATGCTTTTTAATAAAATGAATTTTCATCATACCAAGTTCAGCTAGTTTCTCTCCTTCCTAAATTTATGTCTTATAATTATGTGAACTAAGTTAAGTTGGCATTTATTCCACATATCATTGGACAAAGAGAGTCCAGAATTACAACCTTGTCAGCAGATCTGGCTCCTGTTGAGGTAGGACGAACAAGCCGCGTTCTTCCTCTGTCTCGCCACCAGGTGCAGCTAAACACCTTGGGCAGACAGCAGCTGTCTCAGGACTCAGAGTAGAGTAGTGATGCGCAAAGCAGGGGAAGGAAGCAAGAATTCCAAGTGCCCCTGGATCCACGGCGCACTTCCCAGACACTCCTGACTGCGAACCAAATGTTATCCGAATCACGTTCCGAAATGTCAAGCTTCGCATTGGACAATATTCCTAGAGCCAGTTAAGAGGGAGGCGCTGTAGGGGAGACCTCCACTGCAACCTCACATGTAAACGCACTGTCAGTGTAAGCACACGTAACACCCAACCCCAGGTTGGGAATCAGTGTCTCCCGAGCCGGTAGCAGCTGGTCCAGCTGCTCCAGCAGTCTAGCTTCCTATAGCGCCAAGAAAGCGCCAAGAATCCTGCAGATGCTGTCTTCAGGTCTGAGTTTGATTCTCACAAACGTTTTCCCCAGTAATATTTGATAAACAAACCAATGAACCTAAGCTTTTAAAAGATTTTGCCTGCTGTTATTAACAGCGTGTGGCCTCCTCCTCTGCTTGTGGTCAATTAAATTATTTATTATTTACTCCAAAGATTAAAGTTGATTACCTAGAAGCTGATGGAGATACAAGACTTTTCCACCCTGATGAAGATCACTCCACTTTCCAAACCAGAAAACATATATATGCCTGCCCAGCTAAGGGGCTCTGGAACTGCTGCCTGATTTACCTTCTTTTGACCATGGGATTTGGAAAGCTGATTAAAGAAAAACATTATTGATTTGAATTTCTGACTCTTTATTTTTTATTTTTTGGTACCAGAGATCAAAATCAGGATCCTGTGTTTGCCAGGCAAGCACTTAATTTAAGCCCCTGAGCTACCTCTCTGGCCATTTTAACTCTTTTTAAAACATTATCTTAGATGTTGTAAAAATGGTTATGCTGGGCTTTTTTTCTCTATAGCTGAAATTAGTGAAAATAAATTTGGTTTACATTTTTTCAGTCTCCTTGCATTAAATGATCATCATTACTGGCAATAACACCAACCTTCAATTTTCCTCAATTTTACATGCTCCACCAAATGCCTTACTTGAGAACACATCTACTACTGATTTTTGCTGAAAAATGCCTTATTTCCAGTGAAAATTACTAAAAAATGTTTGGGTTGAGTATTCTAAAGTATAGAGAAAGGGAAGGGAGGTAGGAAGAGAGACTGGTTCTGTTACATCAAAAATATATGATGGGGAAAAAAATATATGGTGGGGATGGGTAGATGGCTCAGTAGAATAAGTATTTCCCAGCCAAGTGCAAGGGCCTGAGTCCAATCCCTGGTTCTGAAAAAAAAAAAAAAAAGAGTATATGGTACAGTGGGTTGGGGAGATAGCTCAGTGGAATAAGTGCTTGTCTGGCAAGCACAGGGACCTGAGTGCAATCCCCACTACCACAAAAAAAAAA